GTTCCAGCCCCTTTCCGCGCAAGCGCTTGAGCCTCCGTACCTCTGCACTTTACCTCCGCACCTCCTCTGGGTCTCAGTGTGCTTTTCTCTTTGCTTCTAGTTGTAGAATTTCCCCTCAGCCAGCCTTCCTGTTGTTCTGGATGATGTCCGTTTTGTCTTTTAGTTGAATTTTTGAATTTGTTGTGGCAGGCAGCAATTTCCGGTGTTTACCTATGTCGTCATCTTGGTTTCTCTCTCATGGATATTTCTATCTCTCTCTCTCTCCCTTCCTCTCTCTCTAAAATCAGTAAAAACATATAGAGCCCTAGCTGGTTTGGCTCAGTGGATAGAGCGTCGGCCTGCGGACTGAAGGATCCGGGTTTGATTCTGGTCAAGGACACATGCCTGGGTTGCAGGCTCGATCCCCCATGGGGGGCGTGCAGGAGGCAGCTGGTCTATGATTATCTCTCATCATTGATGTTTCTCTCTTTCCTTCACCCTTCCTCTCTGAAATCAATAAAAACATATTTAAAAATAAAAACGTAGAGAGAGTGACTCAGAAGAAAGCCAGTGTGTTTTCTAACGTAATGTCATGAGTGACACCCCCTCCGGTCTGCCGTTCTCTCTCGATCAGATCAGCTCTGGCCGTGTTGGAAGGACTACCTACGGCCAGGAAAGCCAGGGCGTGGGGCTCCCGGGGCCATCCAGGAGGCGGACTGCTTTCCTCTCAAACACGTATTGAGCCCCTGCTGACTTCCAGTCAGCGGACCCAGAACTTTCCATACAGGAACACCACTCAGTTCCTTGAGACAATCTAAGTGGGTTTATTACCGTCGTAGGCAGTGGAGTCTTGCAGTCAGGCACACACCCTGTGGAGCCAGACGGCTGGGGTTCCAATCCCAGCTGTCACTCACTGGCTGTATGACTTGAGCAAGGGACCCCACCTCTCTAGCTCACTTTCTTCATTTGCAAATGGGGGGATAGCAGTATCTACCTCTCGGGTGACGCCAGGCAAGTGTCGGCTGAGATCCTCTCGCAAGAGGAGGAAACACGTTGGGGGAGAGGACACGTCTTGCCCAGGGTCCTCCTGATGGGAGAGGTCATGGTGGCCTCTGCAGGCAGGTGCCCCCCACCCCTACCCCCAGTGATGACCATGTGTTTCCTGCTCCCCACAGGTCTGCTCCCATAGTTCCCTGGAGTCCGGTATGGTGAGCGGGTAGGGGACGCCGGGCGTGCAGGAGGCAGGGGTGTGGATCATGCCTCCACCAGCCAGCGCTTCTCCTGCCATCGGAGGCCGCACCCAGCCTGCCCATGGCCGGCACGGACCCGTCGCTCTCCGATGCCTTTCGCATCCTGGGCAGGGCAGGCCAGGACAAGCTCCTGCATCTGAAGCACAAGCTGAAGACACTGCGCCCCGGCCGGCGGGGGGCGGACCTCCTGCACGCCATGGTGCTCCTGACCCTGGGCCAGGAGACCGAGGCCAGGCTCTCCCTGGAGGCCCTGCAGGCGGACGCGGTGGCCCCGCTGGGG